TTGTGCATGAATTGGTAACTGGTATATTAAAACAAAAGGGTGCTATATTATACTACCAGCAACCTAATATGAATGTATCTGAAAACAATTCTGATTATTATTATCAACTTACCTTAAGTGATAATTTATGGCTTTAGCAGGCATGTGACTTTGGCTCATTTTGCTTTGGCATTGATGGAAAGTATGACTTAAATAGTGATGGAGCACCAATTTTATCTTTAATAGTTGAGGATAATGCAGGTTACGGAACTTCAATTGCATTTGAACTATCAAATAAAGAAAATAACCATACGATTAGACTTGCTGTAGAAGCTGTTCAGCGCAATATTCCATGTAATGAAATTGATTGCATGCATGAATATGAATATATAGAGTTACCGAATAGTAAAGGATTTATGAGAGCCTGGTGGTGTGCACAACGATGGCAGCTATTTGCGATGATTGATAAGTATCAACTGACAAAATGGGGTCTTCAGCCTATTCTTCGTGGTATAATTTTATATTGGTTTTACATAATGCAAACATTTAGTGAACACTTTAAAAACTTAAGAATTGATGACCATTACCATTACCCAATTGCTATAGCTTTCAAAATAGTAGACCGAAGCCGAAGTGTAGATGAAGCCTTAAAACTTGGAGAGGCTTATCAGCTTTTTATTAAATCTCTACCACTTACAGAAGTCACAAAAGAGTTTTTGTGTAATGATTTATTTTCCAATTGGTTGTCTGATGAATAGATCAATTGCTTTATTGATAGTGGTCGAATACCATCCGCAAATAATTTACCAAATGCTAAACCTATGACTACAAACAATCTCACAGAGCAAATAAATAAGTCAGTTGAAGGTAAACGTGTAGATACTCAATCAATTACTATTTTATTAAAAGGTTATATGGTATTACTTTAATACAGGACAATATTATTAAAGAAACCTCTTCACAGTTGGTATTTGAAGCAAGTCAGATGATATATTGGAATTTGCGAATTATAGAATATCAGACATTACCATTTAAGCAACCAATTGATATGAAGCGACGATTGAACCAAGGACGTCTTTATGTTATACTTTACTCAGTAAAACCTGCGGTTAAAGGATCAGATACATACTTTTATATAAAAAAGGGAAATAGCAAATTTAGATCTCTATATACTATACGAAGAATTAGTATTGATGACAAATCAAGCAAATTACTTCAGCTAATATTAAATGAACTTGCATCTAAACATCCTGTTGCGTAGCAAAAAGATTACTATCTTATCAATATTTTTATAGAAGAATATACATGCTTAGATTTTATCTGAAATGGCTTTTTTCGAGACGTATATAAGCATGTCTATGCAGTACGGTTGTTTAACAAAGTTGAAGATAATGAAATTACACTGGATATTATTAAGAATGATCTTGTGCAATACTTTTGCAATAAAGAGCGTGCAATGCCAAAGAGCAAAAGAATCATATTATATATAGTGGTTCAACCGATACTGCATTGGAAGAAATTCTTCGAATTTATTCAATACAGGTAATGATATTTTCTACCTATATGAATGTAAAGCTACAGAAAGAGACCCATTTCGGCCTGCTGAAATGCCTACATGAAGGATTTTAAATATCAGTACTCCTAAAATTCATAGTGCAAAGCCCCGGTTTTGCAAATATAATATCTAATAATGATAAAGAGGTATATACATATATGTCAAATAAATTATATGTATTTATGATTTACAAATATATTACTTTTTGTAAAATATTGACAATAATGATAGTGATAATGATTCAATGCTACTTGATGATGAATTAGAATCATCAGCTATATTTGAATTAGATCAAACCTCATTAGGTAATCTGGAAGAGCAATCAAATTTATTGTCTCCGTCAATTCAAAAACAAAAAACAGTTGCGATTCGTAATCGCAAACGTAGTGTTTCAAGAAGACAGATAATATAATTATTAAAAGAAATGAGTATTATATTTATATGTGCTATATAGGTATTAATTATAAACTTTTAATATGTA